TAGCATGTATCGATGATGTATGTTCCAAGTGAATCTTGTTAATAAATACGGTGTATCGGTATTGTTATTATGTTTGGATCTTTTATGGTATTTTTTTCGTGTTTGGTCAGTTTCTATAACATGACATACAATATTTTGTACTCCAGAAAATGTACAAAATACTACGTACGCTAGAGAAAAAGATATAGTTCCTAATACATCCCTAAAGAAGGATAAAAAAAATTAGAAACAAATAAAGCTCCGAACAGGACAAGAGCAACACACAGTGAAAAGGGTCGTTAAAATTAACAACGGTCAAGCGCACACACTGCCCTATATGGTCGAGGCACCCTGCTCTAATCATTCAGGCGTGGAGATCCCTCCTTACCCAAGTTAACCTCATCATAATCTCGCGTTAAAATGCTGTCAATATAAAGCTTGAGTGATACGTGTTCCTGCACGCCATGCTGCATTTACAAGCAAAGGAAAGGGGAGAAGAAAAGGGATGCAAATCATGCGCAGTGCAATACAATCGAGTGGCTTAATTTTTTGTTAACCGACAAACGGAAAAGCTAAACCCAACATCTGTACGGATTAACCTAAAGCATTTGGCCTATGTTCTGAAAGTGTTTCAGCTATTACAGCTTAAAGTGCAGCTACTAATTATGTAGTGTAAGCAATTTTTGTACTCTTCTAGGCTTCTACCTGCTGTCTTTGCGAGTATGTAACCATGTGTACTATATACACATGCATTGGTACTTTGGTAGTACTCTCTGTGCACTTTCTGAACATAGTTCAGTCTGATTCTTTTGATGAGAAAACTGTATTCTTTGCTGCAATGCTGTTAAACAATGCAATATATAGTAATAGGATCTTGAAGTAAAATTTGAAAACTGGACATCTCATTCAATTTTCTCCAAATGTAAACCTTTTGGGCATGTTCAGATTCAAGCCATTTTAAACCATACAATTGTTTAGTAAAATTGAAAATGTATGGCGGCATTTAATTTGTTACCAAATATCGACCATGTCTTAAAAAAAATTGACAATATCATATTTAATCTATCCTACCAAAACTTGGTAATGTTACCAACTTGCAAAAATTTTGACAATACCAAATTTTGGAAATGCTAAAAATGGCTATAAAGTGAACCAACCCTTTTTCTACGCCAAGCCTACTTTGTGGTTTTACATCTGAACAAGCCATTTTGACACACTGGGGGGAATTGCAATAGTTTTGGTCAATGGGCTACAAATGATTTGCATCTTTCAGAATTTTCAACAGGTTAGTTGATTTTAGAAGTTAGAAAAAACAGTATATTACTGTATATACATCAAGGAAACTACCATGGATATTGATACACATGCTGTCCTTTGTTTCTGACTTTGTTCTAGTGCTCGTGCATGGACAAATATATAATTGGCGTCACACGTGAGACAAAGACGGAGGCCAGCTTCTCTTCATCCTCCTCCTTGGTACTCTCAAAAGCCAAAGCAACACAAGCAAGAGAGAGAGAGAGAGAGAGAGAGAGGCAAGTGAGACCCAGGGCCTTGGATACTGTTAAAGCCAAGACTCTCAAACTGCAGCCTTAATCAGCCACTGTTCTGTTCTTGGCTGAAATCAGCCGCCGCCCCCAACTTGCCTCACTCATCACACTTGCATCATTTCGTACATCTTGCTAGTATCTTATTATACTATCACCAGCTTTGCTACTACTACAAATCAACGGCCTGATTAATTAGTCTAAAAACATACGCTGCCTTTTGAGACATGAGTGATATGATCCATCGAGGTCAGCTAGCATGCATGCATGCCATGAGCTAATTGCGTCTAATTAGTACTCCAAATTAAACAACTTCTTAGATATATACTCCAACCGTTTCATAAAAAAAACAATCTAATACTGGATGTGACACATTCTAATACTATAAATTTAGACATATCTATATCTATCAGATTCGTTATACTAGAATATGTCACACCTAATTCTAAATTCGTTTTTATTTTTGAGATGGGGGTGTATATGTATAGAGAAGCAGCGCATTCATCAGCATGCTTAAGGCTGCGTACTGAGCGCAATTATCACACGAAGTTAGAAGATACCCCAAGAACGGGACGCTTTTTGTATACATGTGTTCATCCATTTCTTTTGAGAACATAGGGAGTGTTTGAAGAGAAGGGGATTGAGGAGATTGGGAAGATACGCAAAACGAGGTAAGCCATTAGGTCATGATTAATTGAGTATTAACTATTTTAAATTTCAAAAATGTATTAATATGATTTTTTAAAGCAACTTTCCTATTGAAATTTTTTGCAAAAAACGCACCGTTTAGTAGTTTGAAAAGCGTGCGCGCGGAAAACGAGAGACAATCTCTCCTATCTCCACCTAACGAACACTCCCATAGTAGCCGCAGTAACAGAGGAGTGCGCTTTGTCATGTACACAAGAGCATAAGTACTAATGCAAGAGAGTACTTCTAGGAGGAGGAGTATGATACAGCATAACAGCAGCCGTACGAGCAAGAGTTTTGTGACGAAGAAACCACAATTATGGCATCTACACCCATCTACAAAAGCGCTTTACTAATATATGCCCCGTTTTTTCGCAGCAGCAGCAGCAGCAAAGCGAATGCAAGAGAAGCTATAGCTGCTCATGCAAACGAGGGGACAGAAAGCGGACCGGGCTCAGCAGTTGGAGTGGATGGATCGCTGCTGCCATGCATTCTCATCGACTGATCATCGAGCTAGTATGTAGTCCTCTATCCGTCTCAAAATGTAGCAAACTAGAATGGAACGAATTTGGGGGCCTCATCGTTTGGCATATTCATATGCTTATCAGCCAAAATTTGAATTTTTAACGTTAAATTTGAAGTTGATTTTGGGGTTTTTTCATCGAAGTTTATTTTTCAGCCCTTGCTTTTAGATCGCTAAGAACACATATATAAAAGTTTTATTCACAAATTAATTTTCGTTTGCAAATATGCCATTTGGCATATTCAGAAAATATGACAAACGATGAGGTTGTGGATATGTCTCATGTCCAGATTTATAGTTTTAAGATGGGTCGGTTGCTATATTTTAAGACGGATGGAGTACTACGTAGTAGTAGCATCTATATACTCAGAAATGAGAAATCTATGGTTTGAAAGGACGCGAGAGGATGATGTGGTGGTGAAGAAGAAGAAGAAGAAGAAGAGGTGAAACATGTCATATGAGAGATGAGACATTGAGACCGGATCATCTTTTGGCTTTCTCCTTCCCCGAGGAGAGGAGAGGAGAGGAGAGGTTTCAGAGTGGCTGGTCAGCCTTGCACGCACACCCCGGGCTCTGGCTGGACGGCGGCGTCGCCGTGTTTCTCGGCTTGCTTTTGGATTATTTTTTTAAAATTTTTATAATTTTTGCTCGGCGTTCGTGTGCGACTTTTGAGTTTTGACCTGCCGAACTGAGCTGGGGTATCGTCTCGCCCAACGGAATCAAGAGGAGTTTAATTGTTGGTCCAACAAGTTGTTGATAAATTAGAGCTAAGTTCAGACTTCAGAGACCCTCAAAAGAATATAATTGAAAGGTTTTTCTAGCTTGGGCGCACAGTTAGTTATAAGGGAGGCTCTAGGCTCGATTTGAAATATACTAGAATTCTACGTAAAACGGCTAGGGACTCTCTCTTCTTCGGAACAATTAATACATAAATTTTATAGAGCTAGCAAAATCCCTATACTTTACTATATGTAAAAGAAAATATATATGTCATGAATAATATATATTTTAATAAAATATGCTAGTATTACTTATTTGTTTATTTTCATATGTGATATTCATTTGATTAAAATAAATATTACTAGCACCATTTTATATTATAAGTTATTTGACTTTTTTCCTAGTTAAACTTGATCAAGTTTATAAGAAAATATAGCAATATTTTAAATATAAAACAAATAATTTATTAAAACATATTAAATATTGGTTTTATTGAAACTAATTTAATGCTCTAGATGTTGCATTTTTTTTACAAACTAAGTAAAAACGACTTATAATACGGCTATAATATGAAACAGAATGAGTAAACTATTATATAATATCAAAATATATCATGGACTAATTTGCAAAAGTATAAAAGTAGTGATGTTGGTGTCTTTTACGGTAATAAGTATAGATTCCTCAGAATTTTACTTCATGGAAAGTTCAACACATGGAAAATTTCCTTGCATTTTGATCAGATGGCCCTGTAATTCTGGATCTCTCTCTGCTGCGACATGTTCCGTAGTCCGTGCTGGCCCAACTGGGAGTATATAGGCCGCTTCGTTGTATTTTGGGCTAGGTTTCTTTGCAGGCCTGTTTAATGGGCCTGTAGTACGGAGAGTTTTCCAGTGAGAGATGACAGCCGACGCAACAAAAACTGCTTTTATTGTGCCTGGCTGACAATCACACTATCACTTGTGATTTCTGAACGGAACTCAACTCACCATGACCCTATCCAACAATAACAGAACGTTTACTTTAGAGCCGGTACAATAGAACAATATAAGTTAACTATAAACACATTTCGAGTACATAAAAAATAAGAGAAAAGAGTAGTGGGCTATATATTTATAGTCAGTTGCAACACGGACTACAAGATACATGCGTGTATGACATATGGGATCAAGTATTAATTATGTAGTATATGTCTATAGATAAGTATTGTATGAATTGACTACAAAATTAACTATAGATGATTTGGAGCCGGTGGTTGGCTATACTATTAAACTTGCTCTTACTTGACTTTGGATTCGGTTGCAAAAGATGTTATTTTCATTTTCTTTAAAGAATAGATCAAATACTTCCTCCGTCTCATTATATAATATTAGTAACTCTTAGCTACGAATCTGGATAATTGTGTGTATCAATTCGTAATTAAAAATTATTGTATTTTAAAACAAAGGTAGTATATTTGACCCGGTTTTCTGCGAAAGGCTAGCAACGGACAGAGTCGTGTTTTACATACAGAAGATGTTGATGATCACAATGGTCAAAGCAGTCAAACTGATCACAAATGAGAGATTTTGACATCTGAAAAACCACTTAAAAAAATATTGCTGCATTTCGCAAATGCAAACATCCAATCAACCAGACGATGAACTGCCGGATCACGGTTTATGCAAGAGCACGAAGAGGTCGGTCTCGAAGACGACGGACACCGCCGTCGACGCCGCCGCCGCCGCCGTCATGACGCAGTACCCGCGCGCCATCCTGAACGCGCCGGTGCCGCCCACCAGGGGGCGCTCGATGGCGCCGGCGAACCCCAGCACGGGGCCCACCATGGACAGCGTGCTCCCGGCGTGCTCGCCGGCGGTGAACACGAGGCTGATCGCCGACTGGAACGACGCCGGCGGCGCCGTCCCCGGCAGCGACGTCCCGGCGACGACGCCCTGGAAACGGCCGATCAGCGCGGAGCTCGCCCGGTCCGGGCCGTCGCGGAGCTCGTCGTCGAGCACGGCGACGCGGCCGAACGCCTCGTTCGCGCCCAGCGGCGACGGGACCACGGCCAGCGCCGTCGCGTTCGCGCCGGCGAACCTCTCGTGCATGTACACGCGGATGCGGGTGAGCTTGTCGCGGCCGCCGGCGGCGGCGACGTCTTCGCCCGCCGCCGACGAGGCGGCCAGGAGGACGAGCAGCAGCAGCGCCGGCAGCGGCGAGGAGGTGGAGGAGGAGGCCATGGTGTGATCGCGGCGAGATGTCGACGCGAGCGCGCGCTAGCTGCAGCCTGCAGGTGGACAAGGATGCTCTAGCCTGGAGGAGTCGAGGTCAATATATATTGTTCACTTGGTTGACTTCGATTAGTTTATGATTAGCACATGCAAGCCTGGATGTGTACATGCATGTTACCAGTTACATACTGCCGATTTCAGATAGTTTCATACTTCATCACAAAATATATAAGATACAACTATTTCCTTTCGCTATATCTCATAATATAAAACGTGCATATATACATTAACTAACACATCTTTCTCATTAAAATCGGTTTGTTTTAAATCCTATATCATCAAATCTTCCGACCGCATTATTTGTATGGATCACGGTGATCTAACAAAAAAAAAGTAATTAAATTCTTTTTTTAATCTTTGTGTTAGATGGTGCCTTACTCCCAGAGGCGAATTAGAATGAAAATTACCCGGTGTCCCGTACCTATTAATCATATATATAATACTCTATTTACATGCTAATACGAGCTATCACTGATGAAATTTTAAACTTTACCCTGTGTCCTATGCATCACGTACCTTAAATGTGGATTCACCCCTGCTTACTCCCTCCGTCCAAAAAAAACCTAACTTGTGATCCTTCCTAATATAACAAATCTAAATAATCCCTTTTTAGGTTGGGTTTTTTTTAGGACAAAGGGAGTATATTTTAGAATAGAGGGAGTACATGTAGTTTTGTACTTCTACGTAGAAAGGATACAATTGTTTGTAAACAACACACTAATACATTACTACCTCGTACCTAGCAGCAGTTCAGTAATGCATAAAAAACCGCCGACCCACCGGTAGGGCTGACCGGCTGATGTATGAAGTTCTGCCCCAGTGCAATGGGGCACCGGATAGGTTTCTGTTTTTAAGTTGTTTTTAGCTAACGACACTTCTGAAAAATCAAAATATTACAGTACTATACTACTAGCATGTGTTTGTGATATGTAATAGACAGTATACCCGAATATTTTTCTGTGTTCGCTGCTAACAGATGGTAACCAATCTAGCAGTCTAGCTAGACGTGTGTGATTGGAGATGATAATAGATGTACACTCAATGGTTCCTTATCTAAGCCTGTAAGTGGCATGCGTCACGCCGCTAGGACGCTGGGCAGGCCCGCACCACTTACCTCTTACCCACTTAGGCCAACCTACTTAGGTTTAAACAGGTTGATGCGGCAAGCCCACTACTCCCGGCGGTGCCACCACAGCTCACATATTATTTCCGCATTAGCTGAGAACAGGAGGAGCGAGGAGACGAGGAGGGGAACGAGTTTGGCGCTGTTTTTGATGGTATATACGGTAGAAAATGTTTGCGGGTCCTGTAACAAAACCGCCAGATTTTTGTGGGTCTATACGCGGGCTACTTGGCGCCACTAGCTTTTTGCGGGCAGAGCGGTCGCGGGGCGGACACGCCGCAGCCCACGCCACTTACATGCTTATTCTTAATTACCCGTACCCACATCAGTGTGAACTAAACATGCCCGTCCTATGAGCATCACCAATAGTTTTCCTTTTTCATTTCCTATCCTGAAATTTTACGATTTTTGGTTAAAAATTCAATCCAACAGATTCCCTATGACTTCTCCCAAAATATCTCGTTCCCTTCTCCGTATATATCGATCCCCACTTCCAAGAAGCGATATTTCATTCCCAATCGTCTGGTTTTTCTCTCCCGCGCGCGCTGGTGAAAATGTTCCCGCGCTCCTCCTCCTCCTCGCGGCCTCGTTCCTCCAGGGCGGCGGCGGCGGCGGCCTCTTCTTCGGCAGCGGCGGTCACTTCGTCGGCAATGGCGGCCACTTCCTCGGCAGCGGCGACATCTTCCTCGGCGGCGGCGGCGGCGGCTGCGGCGGCCTCTTCCTCTGCAGCAATGGATTGGTACCACGATGCGATGCGTGGTGTGGCGACGACGGCCGGAGTTCGAGCGGTTGGTGGAGGAGGTGTCCTGCCGCCGCAAGCACCACAACCGCCTCGTTTTGGGGTGCCTCCACGGTACGACGAGTTTTGGTCCGGCGGCCATCCGCGCCCCCCACCGCCGTCTGTCAGCCATCCGCGCCCCCCACCGCCGCCCGTCAGCCATTCGCGCCCCCCACCGCCGCCCGTCAGCCATTTGCACCCCACACCGCTGCCCAGCGGCCATCCACACCCTCCACCTCCCTACTCCAGTTTTCAGGTATCCGAGGCCATGGAGGAGCAGACATCTAGCGAGCCATTGGATCCCCTCTCACACGAAGAATTCCTCCACATGAGCAATTTTGGTAAGTCTGATCTTGATTCGTTCAGTGTCAAGTTTATATGCTGTGAATTCCTTCACATCTGAAGCCAAGTTTATTATCCATCATAACTCGAATTTCAGTTTGATAATATGCACTGAGTTTGATATGCTGTCAAATTTATGCTCTGAGTTTGATACAATGGAAATTCAGTATGTACTGAATTTCATATATGATGCTCTGAAATTTAAGCTGTTGGTGATGCTCAGGGATCAGCAGGGTCAGGACTGAAAATTTTTGCAGTTTGGGCCATTGGGTATTTGCAGTGAACAAATTCTCTGAACAATCTGTTCTTGTTTGATCCATATAGGAACAGTTATCTGAACCTTGTCACTGTCAGTATTGATATAGGATCATTTCTCTGAACCTTGTCATTTTCAGTATCCAAATTAGCACATTTGTATGCTCTCTCCATACGACTTTCAAACTTGTTTAATTAATTGCAAATTGGAATTCATTACCAGATGCTAATGCTTAGCTTTTGATATATACTATGTGTACAAAAAGTTGTCACCAACCAATACATGTGAACTTTCAGATAACAGAATGTAATTTTTGTCTATGGACAGATGGTATGGAGCAAGAGCGATATTACACAAACTTGATCAATGATAAGAGCAATCATTTTGAGTCTAGTGAGATGGGAAGCCAATACGCTGATGAACAAGATCCAATTGGGAATGAAAATGCTGCTTTGAGACCGAACCAAAAAAGGTCCAAAAATTTCAGTTTGGAGGACAACCTTTTGGTGCCGGCATGGATCAATGTTTCTTTTGATGCGGTTCAAGGGACAGATCAATCTCGTGGTACATATTGGGGCCGTATTTACGAATATTTTCATGACAACAAGGAATTTGATTCAGATCGGTCTCAAAGATCACTTGTACATCGTTGGTCCACTATACAAGAGCAAGTCAATAAGTACACTGGTTACTTATGTCAAATTCAGAATCGAAATCAGAGTGGTGTCAATCCTGAGGACATGGTAATACGTGGTTTATGCAGCATATTTTCCAATCTTGTCTTTTATATTTGACTTATGTTCGTTTTTTTGCAGCATGTGCAAGCAGCCATGATGTACAAGAAGAAAGAAGAAAAGAAGTGCGTAATGATTCTGAAATATGCCTGTGAATATTTGAAAACAAAAGAAATATGCAGAAAATTCATGGCCTCAATGTATGGTACTAATTAAAAAACACACGGTGAATATCTAATTATTACAATCTCTGACATTATTCAATAATATAAAATCTAAACTTAATATCGATCTGCATGGTGATTCCACAAATGTTCGATGAGGTATTCTCTTAGTTGGTCGTGAACTTCCTTGTCTTGAATATTTTCGTACTGACTAATAAAATCATTAAAGTTGGGCGTATGTTCATGGGAACCACCCACCTGTTCTCCCATCTCATCATAAACTAAATCAAAATCACCATCGTGCTCATCCTCCACAATCATGTTATTCATGATTATACAAGCTCTCATTATCTGATTCAGAGTAATTGCTTTCTAAAAACGAGCTGGTCCACGGACAATAGCAAAGCGAGCTTGAAGCACTCCAAACGCTTGTTCAATGTCACACCCCAATCTGGCACCGCCGTACAACGGCACCTGACAGGAGCGTGTCGTAGGAAAACGGCGTGAACCGCGTCCTACGAAACCGCGATCTCAGTACCAGTCCTAGGACATAGCGCTGGTACCCACGGTAAGAAATATGAATCATTGCAAATCCTTATAATAAATAGAGGACTTATTTACCTTAACTTAGGTTGCAGCTCAGGACAGCCCGAGATTACAACCGACGACACGGACAAGGCAACACCAACAACGGCAGCAGCAGCGGAAACAACGACTAACTCCCAACTCCACAGGCGATGGCTGGGAACTAGGACGAAACCCTAATCATTGCTTCACTTCAGCTTCACCTTCTATATATATATAGAGCAAGGGTGAGTACTTACGTACTCAGCAAGCCAGAGGAACTTAGGTGGTTAATGCAAGCTTCAAGAGAAGACTGTTATTTTTCAATCAGTTTTATTTGCAAGCATTTTGACAATCTAAGTGTGTGCTTTCCACAACCAGAGCAGGACAAGTCTCAGCTCGGTCGGGGTGAGAAGTAACAAATTTATTTATCAAGATTTGCACAACTCCCAGAGTTGGCTTCAAATCTGGTTTTCCCAAACCAAACCAATTTTCCAAACTTCCCGATAATAGTGGTCCCCAAACGACCAATCACTTCTAGGGACTCCCGGTCCCGCTGTCCCCCGGACAGCTAATTTCTTCCCAAGCATTAGGTTTCCCAAACCTTAACACCTTTTCATAAAACAGGGTAAAACAAAAACTACGCTAAGGAATCACCTCACATCCGCCCATGACCGTGGGCACGGCTGTTCGAACAGTTTAATAACCTCTGCAGAGGGGGTACACTTTACCCACACGACATTGCTAACCCGGATCATCCAGCCCGTGTAGAGCGGCCACGTCTGGAGACCTTGAGGCTTTCATGACAAGGCATTTCGAAAGCTGACACAGGATTGCCATATGCTAACGAGAGGGGTCCCAGACCAACAACAGGTTAGGTCCCAAACCATACTGTGCCAGGAAGCCCGGGGGTTCTCCCCGACACCACCCCGTTGAATCCACATGTCTCTTGGCATCAAGGCTCCCCTGATTAGCTATTTACTCAGCCAG